GACTTAGTACACCTTGGAAACCCCCTTCCAGGTCATCCGTGACACATCTAGGGTCTGAGAAGTTATAATTAATGTGCCTCAGTTTCACCATGTATAAAATGGGGGCAACCACAGTCCCCTTCTCGGAGGATGGGGTGAACTAATACTTATAAATAAAGTATGTCGGGCTCTAATAGGTAGGCTCTTAATGATTGTTAGCTGCCATGATTTTATCTGGCTTTAATGAAGTTCAGGCAACTGTACGTCATCCAGGAGTGGATTCTTTTGAAAATCTTTTTTTTTTTTTTTAAGATTTTATTTATTTATTCATGAGAGACACAGAGAGAGAGAAACAGAGGGAGAAGCAGGCTTCCCGCTGAGCAGGGAGCCCGATGCGGGACTTGATCCCAGGACCCTGGGATCATGACCTGAGCCGAAGGCAGACGGTTAACCATCTGAGCCACCCAGGCGCCCTCTTTTGAAAATCTTGACTAAGGAATACACTATCCTGGTCAAGTGGAGTCAAGTGGGCTGGGATTCACATCCTGGGTCACCCGCTGACCAGCTGAATGCCTTTGGGTAATTATTTAACTTCTCTGAGGCTTCGTTGCCTCATCTGTTCAATCAGGATGATCATAATAGCATCTACGTCATAGGACTGCAGGGAGAATGAAATGGCAGGGTCTGTACAGAGCTTAGCACTGGGCCAGACACCTAATAAGGGCCTAAGAAGTGTTAAGAATCTACTGAGCACATTTATAGGTTTCATTACAGAAAAAGCCAAAGGTCCTGTATTCTTGTGGAGACTATATCTTATTTTCAGGCAAAAAGCAGTCTTTAAAAACCCCTGTTGATGCTTCCCTACTCCAGCAGCTTGTTATGTAACCCCCGTGGGTCCATGCGGAGCCTCAAGGGCCCCAGGGGTGAGCTCACCTGCGCTTTTGTTATACTGTTTTCCTTTCTAAAACATACTTCTCTCTCTCTCTCTCTGGCAGACATGAGTGCCTTCAAAAAACAGGATTTAAAATCTTTGTTCTTTAGAAAGCCTTTCCAAATTCGGACATTTTCCCCTAAATCGCCTTAGCTGTGATACATTAATTTCCACTCACTAAGCCCATTGTAAAGGTCTACGCTGTGTAAATCATTGTGCTGGTGTTGTCCGAGGCACAAGCTGTTAAGAAATTGTCCCAGTCCTCAAGGAGCTTACAATTACAATTTGCAGTTGCAAATATTTGGCACAACACATGTAACATAATTATTTTATCATATTGGATTTTCATGCAGACTGAAATAAAACATAGGCAAATATATGGCAAAATTGGCCATTTGCATTTTTAGAAATTCCCCCCGACAGGCTAAAGAGGCAGTCCTGACCCCTGAACACGAATAATAATTTGCTGTAGTGCGAATTTTCATTCGTGAATTATTTCTCTCCTCCTCCTTTGTCATCACCACCGTTTTCTTCTTTTATTCCTAAGATGAATTCACGGAGCACCTGACTGTGCCACTCACTGTGCCTTTGAGGAACAGAGGTAGCCCACACTGAGGGGTTTCGTTTAGGGTTCTATAAACAGTAGGTGTTTAATAAATGATAGATCCATTGCTTTTTTTTTTTTTTTAACTTGTCTACAGATATTACGCAAAAAGAAGGAAAGGGAGAGAGTGGGTTTGACAAAAAGAAATCTAATTACTCTATTCGGGCCTTCAGGGGGCTCCGGAGCAGGTAGCTGGGAAAGAAGGTAAGGAGGAGAGAAGTGGGTGTGGGGGAGGGGCACGGGGCAGAGGGCGAATCTGACCTCCAGTGGCGGAGAGCCAGAAGCTTTACACATATCCTCTCAATTCATATTCTCAATTAACCCCTGCAAAGGAGGTATTAATTATTCCCACCTTACCAATAGAGAAACTGAGGCTCAGGAAGGTCAAGGGTCTCAGTCAAGTGGTACAGATCCAGCTTCTGTGACTTTAAGGCCGGCGACGGGCCCATGATCCTTCCCCTACAGGATGCCTGTCCAGTGGGCGGGCGGAGGGGAGAGCGAGCGTTGGGACAAGAGGGTAGAGCTGTAACTGCGGCAGCTGACAGCGGACCCGCTGGACCTGCAGGGGGCGCTTGAGAGCCAGTCTCCACCCACCCCGGTGTTTCAGCTCGTGTCAGCCCGTTCCCACTGCTCACAGGGCACCTGCTGGGAGCTCCCATGCCCACTGACCTCCGAGCCCTCTGCAGACCCGTGCTGTGTTCTCACCCCGCGCCCGCTCTCACTCTGCCTTCTAGGCTAGGCCTCCATGCTCCTGAGGCCGCGGAAGGGGCCGGCACCGCCAAGCCCGGGGAGCTTCCTTCCCCACGGAGAGAGCAGAGTCAAGACTGGGGCAATCTCTGGGTGGCATGTCTTTTAGCAGTTTGCCACGTGGCACAGTAATCCGAGCTAGCTTGTGCAGACCATGCAGGATGGGCTTCCTAACCCTCCCAGCAGCCTCGGGCGTTAGGTTAATACTACTACCAGTCTCATCTTATAAATGAAGACACTGAGGCTTAGTTAGATCAATGAACCTTCACAGTGAAAGGGAGCCTCATTAGCATAACTTTCCACTTAGAGAACAATTTGCCAGAATCGAAGTCAGGGGAGAATGCGCACACTTGCGGAACCCCCAGCCCCACTCTTCTGCTCTGCAGCCACATCCCCTGGAGTTCTCATGAGTCACAGGAGAGACCTGTACGGAAATGCTTAGAGCAGCATCGTGGGTGATAGAGCAAGACGATGGAAACAACCTAAATGCCCATCAACAGGAAAGTCAATAGATTGTGGTGTGCTTACACAGTGGAATGTTATGTGGCAATAAAATGGAATGAGAATTAGTACTGATCAAAGGGCACCTGGGTGGCTCAGTTGGTTAAGCGACTGCCTTGGGCTCACGTCATGATCTCAGGGTCCTGGGATCGAGCCCCACATTGGGCTCCCTGCTCGGCGGGAAGGCTGCTTCTCCCTTTCCCACTCCCCCTGCTTGTGTTCCCTCTCTCGCTGTCTCTCTCTCTGTCAAATAAATAAAATCTTAAAAAAAAAAAAAAAGAATTAGTACTGATCAAAACAAAGAACTCCCAAACACCTTGACTGCAAAAAAAGCAGGGATCAAAACCATATGCACTAAAAAAACAAAAAAACCCCAAGGCATACTATATAATGTTTCTATAAGATTTCACCACATACAACACAATGCTTAGACATCTGTGCATGCGTAGCAGGGGTATAAAAGATGCGCATGGGAATAAAACACCAGACTCGGACAGAACCCTGATTCCTATGGGGGAGGGAGGGGACTGGGAATGGAGAGGCAAACAGGGCACTTCGATTGTGTTGGTGACGTATTTCTTATACGGGATGATAGATATATAGGTGTGGTTATGTTCATTTTTTTGCTTTTTGTATGTTTTAATCAACTCATATTTTGATTTTAAAAATTACTAAAGACCTCAGAGTTAGTAAATAGAAGTGTAGAGCCCACACTTTTTTTGCTTTCCAGTACATCATACTGACGACTGAAGGAAGCAAGCAATGGAAGGTGAAAATGAAGGAATGCTACTCATTCCATCTGTTCTTTGCACAGACCTTGAAAATGCAATCGTTTAGTGATAAAGGGATCTCACTTTGTATACCAGAGGCAATCCTGAAAAACATTATTAAATATTAATAGCTTGAATCCCATTTTCCTATGGCTTTATATTGTTATTTAGAATTAGGTTTCTACAAAACTATTCACGACAAGCCGAATACAAGCAACAAAGGGATCCCCATATTCGTTTCAAATGACTTTGTTGACACAGAATCCTATAGCTATTTCTGTCAAACAGATAATGAATCCTCGCTCTGCATTTAGTATATGTGCTGCCGAAGCGAGCACCCTCGTTCTGCATTTAAAGCACCTTTACATTCACATACTCCACCAATTCGTCCCTATTTTGTGCAGAGTTCTCACTCATTTCATCTCTATCAATTTAGGAACTTAGCGGGAACTCCTTTGCTTCCTCCTTTATTTTAAAATTAATAAAGATGCATTGAATGCCCATCAATTCCCAGGCACTCTGCTAGATGCTGGGAAAATGACCGTGACCCAGACAGGCCCTGCCCTGAATGAGCATTCAGTATCCTGGAGGAGACTGACTTGTAAAGCAGTGATTATAGCGCAGTAAGACAGGTGTTGTGATGGGGCGTACGCTGGGCCCTGGTAAAGAGGAACACGACCTAACGTGACCTCCCATGTTGGATCTGGGAAAGCCTCTGAGAAGGGCTGATATTTAAGCTGAATACGGAAGGATGAGTGGGAACTGGCTTTTCGGTAAGAAAGCAATTTAATGATTTCTTTTCAGAGGTTTCAGACATTTTACTGCGGAGTTTCTATTGTCAACCAAAGCAGGGGAGAATACTAACAAAATATTTTAAGATATCTCTTACCTGACAAAAAAGACCTGTAAGTCTTCTTTAAGTGTAGGTCATGTCCTTTTTTCTGTGTGTTCAGAACAAATTACAATTGAGCCAACTGGATTCCTATCACTCTTTGTCAAAGGTGCAGGTGCACTCCTGATCTAAGAGAGTAAGTCAGGGGCAGATGTATCTGCAATGAGAGCATAATCACCCTGATTTTACTCCATGTTTTAAAAATTCCTCTTGACCTAGTTACCTAGGAGAAGAAATAGAAGCTCAGCTTCTCTGCATACACAGAAGCATCACAGGACAGATCCGGAAGCACAGGAGAGCGAAGGTACCACTGTAGCATCTTTCGGCCATGCTGATTCTCTTTAATTCCCCCAAATCCTGCACTCATCTGTGTGCTTGGATAATTTTCCTTGGACTTAATCTAAGGTTGAGTATCCAGTTTAATTACACGAGGTTTGCTCCGGGACCCGCTTTCCAGAAGTTGCTGAAACAGATGTCACATAGGAAATTATGCTTTTGAATCAAACCCAACCTCCCAGAGTCCCAATCCTATAGGTTAGAAGAAGATACACATAACCCAGAAAACAGGATATAAAATGAAGATCTAAATGTTTATTAATTATAATTGCATGTAAAACCACAGAGTTCGCTATTTTTGAACAAATGTAGCCATTAAAAAACCCTTCAACAAGAAAGTGATTTTTAAAATTTCCAAGTAAGAAATCCAGGACAAGTGAAGATGACATTTTAAAGTATCATCAGTGAATTTTCACATCAACTTCCCATCACAATAATATTCATTTATGTCTTCAATCTTACACAACAACAAAGTCACAGTAAGAAAGACAGCAATTGCTTCTGAAAGGAAATCAAAGAGGCCTGGCGCGATTATTTTTTCAAAAGGATCTTGGGGGGTTGAAATAAGGCCTGCTTCTCCATGGGCTGACAATGCTTCACAATGATGGGAACAGCAGAATCCTTTTCTCTGACTTTACCTTTGAACAGAATAAAAGGAACTCAGTGTAACATTCCCCCTCACAAAGAGATGCAGAACTCAAGCCTAACCCCCAAGAAATGCTATAATCAAAGAAAACACTAATCCTGCTCCTATAAATTCTGTTAATAGCATGTTGCAGCATTCAATAGAATGTCTTTCTCTTGCTAATCTTCCTCTGAATTTTTAACACAATCTTCCTGGATTGGAAAAATAACTCCAATAGGAAGGAAATGACAAAACAAAACAAAACAAAACAAAAAAACAAACCTTGAAACTTTGGGCTGTACAGCATCGTTAAAGACAACATTCCATAATAAAGAGAACACAATACAGTCACAGCACCTCATTATTCAAGTCACGGGGTTTAGGGAGGCATCGGTTGTCCTAATGTGAAAATGTGCAACTCCTAAGTGGATATGTATAAAACTAGTCCTTTGGCAGTGTCCCTAATTAACACAAACACCTACCCCTGTTCATTATTTAGAGTTTAGTGAAATTGCAAACTGGCAAAACATGTAGATTTCATGAATTCCGTGGTGTTGGCAAAGCCACTCCCAAATAGACATCTGACAGTGCGGGACCAGAAAATAAATGAAAAAAAAAAAAAAAGAAAAAAAAAGAAAGGAAGGAAGGGAGGGAGGGAGGGAGGAAGGGAGGAATTGATAAGAATGATGATAATAGATGCTTGAAAAAAGAAAGATCTGGATGTCAAAAGACAAAACTGAGGAAGTACTGAAATATTTTTTCAAAATGACCATATCTACAATATTATTCCAAAAATTAAGTGTACAATAAAGTACATCAAATCCTATCAAATAATTTTCCTGAAAAATTATACCCCCCAAAGCAACACTTGCTTCATTTTTCATTCATTCTAAGTTCTAGAACATAGTTGCATTTACAATATGAAGATTTATTTTCTCAGATAAAGCCCTAATTGAATAGTTTATAAATTCTGACCACAAAATTATAATCTCTGTCTTAAGACATGTCATATTTCCTCAGTAACAGGTCCCTCTGTATGCTACCAGCCTACTTGCCTCTTGCTCATATTTGATACTTCAAGGCTTTGCTGAATGTTTCCTAACATCTCAGAGAATAAAACTCTAACTAGACCAAGGCCTTCTTCAATCTGGAGGCTCATCTAGGTGTTCTGCGTCAAGAGGTCTTTTATCAGTCTCCCCTTAACTAACCTGCCCTGGAGACTTATGTCACTTTGAAGCCTTTGACCTTGGCCTTGGACTCTTCAAACGCTTATGAAGACAGAGATGCTGATTTCATATGTTGTCATGCAGGAATACTTTCTTTGCCCACCGTCCCTTACCCACAGCATCCAGCTCAGGGGTGGGCCTGTTTCCTGATCCCCGCTGTGGAGTCTTCTTTTGTCTCTCTCGATCTTAGTGTGATGACTTCTCCCTTGTAGGGTTCACGCTCCACAGGAATGGGTGTGCAAGTCTGAAACAGAACAGTTCATGTTTCTCTTGTGGCTTGGTGACTTCCGGAATTCAGAGGGTAATGCAGCTCCTTTGATGAAGCGTGAGAGCAAAACGAATCTTGCAAATTTACATATCACGTGCCTCCCACCCCTTGCCCTTTCACAGAAATTCCTGGCCACCTCGGGGACCTGCGCTGTGCCCCACTCTTTGCTGTGTCTGACAAAGGCCCAGGGAGCACTCTCTAGCGATTGTTCTTTTCACTGAAACTTACACTGAAGCCTCTGCCACGTCCTCACGCCCTTCTCGTTCTATTACCACCTTGTAGTCCTCCCGACCTGCTACCCTCCCCTCTAGTTTCTGTCTGAGATGTCTGTGTTCCTAGACTGCTTTGTTGTACCTTTTCCAAGACTTGGAGCACGTTTTTCAGATTCTAGCAATCTGTGTGGGGGTTTTCTCATTTTCTCACCTGCTCCCGCGTGTCATCAGGCATCCACACAATCTCACATCTCTCACTATACCTCTTGGGTGGCAGCGGAC